TCACTTTATCACCTATTCAGGTTGTAAATCGTGTTTTTAAAAAGTAACTAAGTAACTAAGTAATTAATTACTTTTGAAAATAAGTAATCAGTAAAGTAACTGGATTACCTTTTTGGGGAAGTAATCGGTAATTAGTTACTGATTACTTTTTTCAAGTAACTCGACCAACACTGGTCACCACAATGATAGAAATGCTTAGCCAAGCAGGGTCTGAAGCCGTCTGCTTTCATAACTTACCTCATCAATTCTGCGCGACATGCACCGACTCTCACAGTTTTAGCAGTGACCTTCTGCCACCATGACTTTTTTTAGATGTTGAGAAAGAACCTCTTTTGAAAGCTGCCTGGACCTTTTGTCTCTCCAGCAACCTTTCCATCATAAAGGACACGACAAAGCAGAATAACATTGAAAAGTGAGAGGTAGGAAGGAAAAGCTATATTTCTGGGTATTCTATCCATTGTTTTAATTGAGTGTCATTTGTGCAAGCACTTTTGTGGGACAGGAAAGGGTCAGATATCTTACATAAGGCTGAAAATGACAACATGTTGTGACCATCGAGTTATTCTATGCTAAGGCCACCCTGAATGTAAAAATGAGAGCTTACAAAAACCTGGCAATGACCCTTAGATGCACTGGATGGACGCACAATTATTTTTACTGCTGCAGCACTTTCTTATCTTATGTTTGGGTTGATCAGATAAGCAAAGATTTAACTTCAGCAGCAGCTTCTGTCAAACAACATAACATCTGAGTAAATGACACATTTTCTCATCAGTCATTTTTAATGATAATATGCATCATAATGCAGCGGTCCCCAACCTTTTTAGCGCTACGGACCGGTTTATGCCCGACAATATTTTCACGGACCGGCCTTTAAGGTGTCGCGGATAAATACAACAAAATAAAACTATTACTGGTACCGAAAAAAGATTTATCGGAGATTTATTCATAACACACGTGAAAAGTCCCAGGAAAACCGAGTTAACGATAAAAACGATAACAAAATAACGCAGAAAACCGATAAAAACCCTGAAAATCATACATTTCACACCTGAGCCTCAACTCTCGCGGCCCGGTACCAAACGACTCAAGGACCGGTACCGGTCGGAGGCCCGGGGGTTGGGGACTGCTGTCATAATGGATGTAAATATATCCACCTTTCACCTTGGGTAGGCAACAGATTAATAATATAGGATGAGGTTGATATAAATTATTGATATTATCTTTGGGTTTTAGATTTGATGCTAGCAAAATGTGTGACTGATGCCGTGGAACATGCAACACTGTTACATGTTATAATCGTCACACTATGAATTATTCTGAATGTTTTCAGATAATTCTTTGGATGAGACTACTGTCTGCGGGATGCATCACGACTCCAGCAAGACAATGACCTGGACCCAGGCCAGACAGTGGTGCCAGGCCAGATTCACAGACATGATGTTGAAACCAAGAGGAGGATGACTGTCTGGTCTCTATCCTGCTGCAAAGGATATTTTCTCTCTGTATTTCTGGATTCCACTCCCCAAAAAAACACAAGAGTGAAATTTGGACATAGTTTGAGAATAACAGCATACAGATCGGTAATGATTCATCAGCAACAAATGAGCCAAATAGCCACAGTGGAGGATACTAACCCCATGTCTGCTACTACTACTGGTGGTGGTCAGAGGGCCGGGTGGCGCCAGTGT